GTACCAGGAGGTAAAGAATAGAGTGATATAAAATGGAATTATAGGGAGAACTAATTAAAATCCAGAAATCAAAGAAGGGCTTTTAGAAGAAATGACATTTAAGACGTGAGAGTTAAGGCATAGAGGAGAGTTACTGAGTCACCTTGGCTTACAGTAGACTTAAATTTGGTGTTAACATTTTTACCACGGTGTATCATAGCTTATTCTGAACAATAGAGAAAGATTGGGAGAACTGATGAGACACTTCCCACATTACACTTACTTCCTTGTAAGCACTCTAATTATATTTTCATAGGCATATTTTATTGCCTCTATATAATGGGAACTTTGTAATTGCTCTTAATTAATTCTCCTCAGCTCTTAACCAATATTCTTATAGCAAATAATAATAAACACTTCACTGAATTAATGTAAATAAATATCACACTAATCAAAATTTATTCCACTCTCTTCCTCCTTTTCTTCCTTCTATCTTTTCCTCCTCGCTTGTTTGCTACCTCCCTACACTCCCTACTTCTCTGTTTCTCTTTCATTCACTCCTCTTCATCTCTCCTTTTCTTCCTCTGTAAACAATGGCTACTCAATAAATGCTACTGATTACCTGTTAATTGCTAAAATAACCCAAAGTGCTAAATACTGTCCTTTTCCTCATCTTCCACCCTTTTCTTCTCTTCTCCCACTCAGATCCCTATTGTAGTCCAGGCTACCTCTTTTGTCTTCTTTGACATGCTGTAGGGATTCAGTCTGACACTTTTAGAGGGATGTTTGGAGTGAAGGCTTCCACTTACCAGAAGCTCCTTCTAGGTTTCTAAAGTATAGTGCATCCTCATCTCCCCAACACTCCTTTTATTTAGTGCATACAAGCCCGTTTTCTAGAAAACTCTTATTTCCATAATCAGAAACAGCCAGGGGATCACAAAAGCCTTTGTCAAGTGGAAATCTCAGAGCTTAAGGAATCTTACAGGTCTTTAGTGTCATGGAGCCTGTCTGAGATCTTGCTTTCCTCTCTAAAGTGGTAACTGAACCAAGGAAACAATACTTTGAAGTGCACTGAAAAGGATGAAAGATAAGCAAGTTTGAAGCTAGCCAACGCTGCTAGAACTGCATGGCTGGGACTATATACATATGAGCAGCTGTTATTGGACAACGGAGCTCAGCCACTTACTTGCATGACTCTGGCCATCACTGCTCCTGAGGTCCTCCATTATTCTTAAATTTACCCAGTTCCTGCCCTTTGACTCAGTCTTTAGTTTTCAGCCGTAATCTCGGCTGCTGTTTCTATCAGCAGATGGTGCTTCTTCTACTTACTCTTCAAAGTCTTCTGCTCTGTCTGAGTTTGGACATCTCCTCTGGTTCCATTTATTTTAGGCTGATCCTCAGAAACCTACCTTAACTTTGACTCCAGTAGACCAGCCGAAGGTGAGATTGGGCACGTATGAATAACCTATTGGGTTGGCCAAAATGTTCGGTCAATGTTTTCTATAAGATGGCTCTAGTTGCACTTAGTTGTCTTTAACTTCATTTGAAACAATTTTGTTAAGTCGTATTGTGATAGCTGTCATATCAGCATACATGTTTTAAAAACTTACAAAATTGTAAGTTTTTGTGTAGCCATTTTAATATTGAAGATGGAAGAATATGAGCAACATTTTCGGCATAATATGCTTCATTATTTCAAGAAAGGTAAAAATGCAACTAGATTGCAAAAAAAAAAAGTGCAGTGTACAGAGAAGCTACCATGACTGATCAAACATGTCAAAAGTGGTGTGCAAAGTTTTATACTGGAGATTTATCTTGCTGGACAATGCTCCACAGTTGCATAGACCAGTTGAAGTCGATAGCAATTAAATCAAGACATTAATTGAGAACAATCAATGTTATACCACACAGGAGATAGCCAACATACTCAAAATGTCCAAATCAAGAATAGAGTATAATTTACACCAGACTGGTTATGTTATTCACTTTTACGTTTGGGTTCCACATAAATTAAGCAAAAAAAAAAACCCTTCTTGACTGGACTTCCACATGTGATTCTCTACTTAAACATAATGAAAATGTTCTCTTTTTAAAACAAATTGTGATGGGCATTGAGAAGTGGATACTTTACAAATACATGGATCAAGAGAGATTATGGGACATGTAAAATGAACCACCACCAAACACACCAAAGGCTGGTTTTTATTCAAAGAAGGTGATGTTGTGTATATGGTGGTATTGGAAAGGAGTCCTGTAGTATGAGCTCCTTCCAGAAAACCAAATGATTAATCCCAATAAGTACTGCTCCCATTTAGACCAACTGAAAGCAGCACTCAACGAAAAGTGTCCAGAATTAATCAACAAAAAACATACAATCTTTCATCAGGATAACCCAAGACCGCATATTTCTTTGATGACAAGGCAAAAACTGTTACAGCTTGGCAGGGAAATTCTGATTCATTCATCATATTTATCAGACATTGCACTTTTGGATTTCCATTTATTTCAGTCTTTACAAAATTCTCTTAATGGAAAAAATTTCAATTCCCTGGAAGACTGCAAAAGACATGTGGAACAGTTCTTTGCTCAAAAAAATAAAAAGTTTTGGGAAGAGGGAATTATGAAGTTGGCTGAAAGATGGTAGAAAACGATGGAACAAAACAGTTGTTCAATAAAGTTATTGGTAAAAGTTTAAAATGTGCCTTTTATTTTTACTTTAAAACTGAACAAACTTTTTTGGTCAACCCAGTACAAATAAATACCTTTTGAAAGTAAACAAGGTAAAGTGCTTAGTGCAAAAGGTCATGTTATGCTGTTGCTTACTAGCTCCTTCTCATGAGAACTAATTGTTATGTTTTCAGAAATTTTGCAAGTCAGTTGTGAAACAGTCATTATTAAAATTGTTATTTAAACATATAATTAAGTAAATTAAAATAAAGGACATGTATGTGTAAAATTCATCACTTCTTATTTTACTACATTTTACTATTTTCTATGTTTTTGGGGTCATTTGCATCTAATGTATGTATACGATGACAATGCTCTACACAAGTTTGCCATTGCCGTGTTCCCAACTCCACATTCAATGATATCAACCATCATGGAGTATTTACGACATGGAAATCAGCAAGTGCTACAAAGGGAGCTTTTTCTTCCATAGAGCCAGCTCTTAAATACTTCTCAGCACCCTACGAAAAAAGGGTGCCAGTGTCTTTTAGAAGTAGTTAACAAAAGCAAAGGCATGGAGTAGGGGGAATATCTGTAGTTACTTCCCCAGAATTTATTCTCATTCTTTCCCCTTCCTAAACAGGACCCTGAATTTCCCAGCCATGTAGTTTGCATGTTACCTTGTCTTCAGCTGTAGAACAGGGCCCTTATTGTCTTAAGCCCAGTGGCTTATTCTAAACCTCTGACTACCTCAGCCTGGTTCAAGGATGGATTAATGATCAAAATCAGGCAAACTGTGGCCACCAAGGATGATATGGAGAACCTGCATTTAAGCTACCAAAAAAATCTATCCTAGCATTTTTGCTAGACATGAAGAAGGGAGTTTGTAGTCCCAGAGGACACTGATAGCCATCTCGGAAACACAAATGAAAAGAGACTGCCCAAGGGCGAATATAAACTGTGGAAGTAAATACAAAAAAAAAATGGTGATAGAAAAACTAGATTCTGGACTAGAGATAGGCTAAAAATCTAGTTATAGGTTCTGTGTAAGTCAGTAAATTCCTTTTGCCTTTAATCTGATTGAGTTGTACTTCAGTTACTTGCACCAAAATGATTCTTTTCTCATACATAGCATATGGTTCACGTCTTTAGATGAGTTAATTGCAAGAAGATGAAATATTCTTAGCCATTCTCATTCTGATTAAGTGTATGTATACACATATATCAAACCAGCGAGCAAGCTCTCTGTAGGCTGAAATTTTTTATTGCACATCTTTATATCTGTAGCTAACTAAGACTGGGCCCTACACATTTGGGATAAGTAGTATTAAGTGCTTAATACAGGTGTTCATAATAGAATTGGTTAGTAAGTCAGGGAGGGATTGTGCAGGAAGTGAAGTGAATCAGAATAAAGTTCTCTTCCCTTCTTTGCCAAGCAGCCAATTTGAATCCATTTCTTGTCACTTGTGAATATCCCAGGGAAAAAGAATGAAGCAATGTGGTTCTTGAGTCCAAAAGTTCAGTTTTTCTGGAGAAAACTACACTGGAGAAGGTTGTGGTTTTCTTTTTTAAAAAAGATTTTATGTATTTATTTTTAGAGAGTAGGGGAGGGAGAGAGAAAGAGAGAGAGAAAAACATCGAAAGATTGCCTCTCACATGTCCCAAAGTGAAGGACCTGGCCTGCAACCCAGGCACGTGCCCTGACTGGGAAAGGGACCAGCAGCCTTTGCGGAACGGCACCCAACCCACTGAGCTACCCCAGTCACGGTGGTTGTAGTTTTTTGTTGGAATATAGGTATGCCCTGCTTTTCAGAAGTTCACCTTGTGCCACTTCACTTTTACAAAAGACCAACATTGCTACCTGATTTTTCTAACCAAAAGAAATCCAAAGAATATTTTTGTTTTACAAGAAAAAAAAAAGTCCAAAAGTGAAAATAGTGTTCAGTGTTTTCTCTGCAGTAAGCCAGTCATACAGGCAGCATGCTCTTGTAAGTAGAACTACACTATATATACATTATTTCCACTTTATATAGGCTGTGTAGCATATCATCCCTGCTTTTATTATATGTGAGTGTTACTTTAAGTTTTATGTGTTATTTGGTATGGTTTGGTAGGTTGTTTTCAGGGTCTGGGAATGCTCCTAGATTTTTCCTTTATAAATTAATGGTCATTGCTTTACGCTGTTCTGGCTTACAAAAGGTTTTGCAGAAACACTGTACTTCCAGATAGCGAGATAAACCTGCACTGTGAAAACAGCCATAGTCTTTTAGTGAGCATCAATACTAAGGAAACTTCTTTGGTTTCTGTTTTCATGATGCCAGTTATGTGGATAAGAATTAAAATGTGCAGTCAGTTGCAGCATCAGCAGCACATAGACTGAAATTGGAATGACAGAGAGAAGATTAGCATGGCCCTTGTGCATTGAGGACACACAAATGTGTGAAACATTCCATATTTTTGAATATGCTCTCTGTTTTTGAACAAAGAAGACATAAATTTGATTCAGGCACTCATGAAGGATATAAGCTGGTTTTTTTTCCACATAGCTAAGGATTAATTCAGTTCAATATAGTGTAATAACTATGAACATGGAGTCAAAGCACCTGGATCTGAAATTTACTATGCACTAGCTATGTTACTTAACCTCTCAGTTTATTCACCTGTGAAATGGGGCTAATACATAAAAATACATATAAAACATATTGTTGGGAAATAAATTGGTTAATATTGAAAAAAATGTGCTGTCAACATGTCTCAGAAATCTATGCATGTGACACCACATTAACAAAATATCCACTTATTGAACCAGACTTCCTATCTCTGTCCAGGAGTTTGGCTTCATGGCAGTGAAAGTGATGGCAATGAATGTGACAGAACCAAAACTGTATGGCACTGTGGCTCTGAATGATGCCAGTGCCCTATGCCTTGGCGAGGGTGATTGATAGAAACACTGACAAATCATATGACTGTTTCAATAAGATTTCAAGTCAGAAAGAGGGAATAACCAGGGAAATAGGAATGCTGCCTTTTGCTTTCCCATCCTTTCCCTGTCTTTCCTCTACTACCCCATTGCTACCCAACATACATCTTATTTAATCCTCTCTCCATTTCCAGGATCCTAAGCTCCAGGAGGGCAAGGATTTGTTTCTATTTTGTTCATTGCTCTATTCTCAAGACTCGAATAGACTGCGGTATACATTAAGTGTCCCATAAACATTGTTGAACAAAATGATGGCCTGAGGATGTCCATTTGCTAATCAATTAAAACATCAGAAATTATAATGGCCAGGTTAAGAAAAGTTCTTTTTCCCTAAATTAAAGTAAAAGACCCTGTGAATTAATGAGCGTTGGCTCAACTACAATCTTAACTACAAAATAACTTTGTGACTATAAACAGTTTGCTGAACATCATGTCCCTTTGTTTCTCCATCTGGAAAATGAGGAAACAGTACCTGCTCTATATTCTTCAAAAACTTTTAAGTGTTTTAAAAGAGATAATAGCTGTTAAGGTGTCAAGTTAAAGATACAAGGTAGGAGCTTAGCATGGATGTTTTTTCATTAAATTAAACATTTACCTCACTTGTCCATTTACTTATTAAGCTGGCAAAATTCCATTTCAGTTTTTATTCTTATATATACTTGCAAACATGCACAGATCACTTTTCTATTTCCTATTGCATCCAAAGTATTGTTGCTATAAATTTTAGTTAACCATTTTCAAATCAAATGCCACTTCCTATACTTCACATTTGCCTTCAAAGTCACAAACTTTTTTAATGATAGACATACTTATTGAATCCAATCTAACTGATCCTTACTAAAAATGTAAAATGTCATTTCTCTACTAGGGTAGTCACCCTTCTTCCTCCCAATCTGTTAATAGCAAACCAATCTTTTTGTTATGGGAATTCTACTTATCCTCTCCCCAGTTTTTCCCTTCAAGCCAAATTCTAATGTTTAGGGTCTCCCTTCCAATCTTTAAAAAGAGACCCTGTGCCTTTAATAACAGAGACCTGGTGAGAGGTTTCTTTCCAAACTTGTTCCCTGGCTTCCAAGTGACGAAACCAGCTGTAATTTGAGAGCAGAGAGATCCTCAGGATATCATTAGCCAAAGGAAAAGCTCTGCATTCCCACCCAGTCCAGAAGTTGAAATAGTACCAGAGGGCAAGAGCCAGCCTTTCTCTCCAGCTACAGGCTCCATCTCCCAGCAGCAAGGGGAAACTGGAGAGTGAGCTCAGGCAACAGAGCCAGCGTCAGGCCAGAGCCCTGTGATTCGGCCGGAAAGAGCCTGCGGAGTTCCAGCGGCCCAGCACGTAGCGCAGGAGCGCAGAGCCTTGTGCATCCTGCGCTGCTGACCCTGCTACCCAGGCGCTGGTGCCACAGCCACATGAAGCCTGCTGGGGAGGAGGGGCCAGGGTGCAGCAAGCCGGCGGGGACTGAGACTGCCGCTGTCTCAGCGAGGTGCTGACTCCCAAGGGGGACCCCCTTTCTTGTGCCCGGGGCGAAAAGTCTTCTCCAGGGGTCCCCTGTCATCCTGAACATACAGGATGGTGTTCCTGAAGTTCCTCTGGATGGGTTTCTTCTGCCACCTGTGTCAGGGCTACTTCGATGGCCCTCTCTACCCAGAGATGTCCAATGGGACGCTGCACCACTACTTCGTGCCCGATGGGGACTATGAGGAGAACGATGACCCGGAGAAGTGCCAGCTGCTCTTCAGGGTGAGTGACCACCGGCGTTGCTCCCAGGGGGAGGGGAGCCAGGCCAGCCGCCTGCTGAGCCTCACCCTGCGGGAACAGTTCACGGTGCTGGGCCGCCAGGTGGAGGACGCTGGGCGGGTCCTGGAGGGCATCAGTAAGAGCATCTCCTATGACCTGGATGGGGAAGAGAGCTACGGGAAGTACCTGCGCCGGGAGTCCCACCAGATCGGGGATGCCTACTCGAACTCGGACAAGTCCCTCACTGAGCTGGAAAGCAAGTTCAAGCAGGGCCAGGAACAGGACAGCCGGCAGGAGAGCAGGCTCAATGAGGACTTCTTGGGGATGCTGATCCACACCAAGTCCCTGCTGAAGGAAACGCTCGCCATCTCTGTGGGGCTCAGGGACAGATATGAGCTGCTGGCCCTCACCATCAGGAGCCACGGGACCCGACTAGGTCGGCTGAAAAACGATTATCTTAAAGTGTAGGTGACTGGGCAGCCTTCCAGGAGAGGGTATCAGATCTACCCTGCTGTGGAGGGTGGGGAAAGGAAGACAGGGCTAACATTTCCCTTATACTTACTATTTTTTATACCCAGATTTGCACTTGGAGAATGATCTGAAGTCACCTTTAAAAGGAAAGGAGTGGGAGTTGAGTGGTTTTGTTTTACATTATTTATGTGCTTGTCATTGATTTGTCACCTGAAGAAAAGAACAGTTTCAAGCCCTGCCTCCCACCTTCCCTAGAGGCTTGATAACTCTGCTGAGACACCTGTTTCAGCCACATGTAAAAGGACACAAATTCCGCAGTGTTCAGCTTTCCCATCCTGAAGATGTTGTGGAAATACCCAGGAAGCAGTGTGCGTAGTTCCTTTCGGCTTCCAGCCTTCTCTCCTGGGCCCTGAAAGCTGTCAAAGCCGCCTGTGTTTGGGACGGGGGCTGAGGTGCTGCTCTGCATCTGCACGCCTGCCGGCAGACGGAAGTTGCCTGTTTCTTCCTCTTCTTTACTCTCTTATTTATTACCATGGTCTCTAAGGTTTTGTTTTTAGGATTTTTCCTTTTTGGGGTAAAAGTATTGGCTAGAAACTACATGCAAATCATCCTTTGCAGGGAGATGTCTGAAGTGCTTCTGTAGTTGTGTGTAAATTCAAGTGACCACATTTAAGTCTCAACTTTGCTGATGGTTGTGCACTCATGTCGATATGTTGATTTGCTATGTTTCACATTGTATGTCTGTGTCATCAGTGCTACATATGGTCCATTACGAAGAAGTAGATTGATTGTTTGAACGCACCCCCAAATGCCTATGATTTAGGTTACCAATGTATTCTTTCTCATTTGGGGGAGTTGTTTCTGTTTGTTTATTGGAAACTTGTACTTCAGGTAGGGGGAATTCTAATAACTCCTTAACCAAGTTTTATTATTCAGACAATAAATATGTTCTCGTGTAAGGCTGGCTTATTTTCTAAATTCTATCTGTAACTTTTATATTGCAAAAAGGGGCCAATACAAAAGGAAAGAGAAGGATGGGATTTAAGCCAGTTTACTTAGAGTGTATATTAAAGGCAGAGGGATAGCTACATATTTGGCAATCCTCTCTTCCCGGGTCACCCTTTCAATCTTCAAAAGAAAAAAAACAAATCTAGGCCATGCCAGAACTCGATCTTTGCTGGTCTGCCTAAAAACTCCAATTCTCTCTAGTTTTTCCATAGAAATCAACTGGAAAATTTTAGGACAGAGCTTATAATTTATGTGCCCTCATAATGTAGAGGGAGGATTCCATTCAAAGTTAGAGGAACTACAATGATGTTTAGTGATTTTGAAGCCAAGTCTATGTTATTTCATTAATGGCTTAAAAAGGTGGAAATGCATTTTATTTCACGTCTTCCCCTGTCCTTTTCTCATCCTCACCTAAATTTGCTTTCTTTTTACACACACACACACACACACACACACACACACACAGAGGAAAATAAGTAAATGTTCATAATCTCCTCTTCAACAATGAGCCATTTTTTTTCTCTTCCATGCACAAGGAATCCAGTTTTGTACTCTTATGAAATGTCTAATATTCTCCTATCACTGTAGGGGAAACTGAGTCCCAGAAAAGGATTACTCCTCAGCTGGTTGCAATAGCTCCACGTGTCTTAGATTTAAGTACAGGACTTTCCCACATTGCTCCTTTCAAGAATGCTGAGAGACAAGAGGAGAGGCCTGAGACCTAAGCCTTTGGATAACTATCTTATTGTTTAAAATAAAAAAAAACATATGGAATAATAATTCAATTAATCACTTATAATTCCATCACCCAAAAGCATACTTTAGGCTACCTTTAGATTGATATGTGGTAAGAAGGTAAATGATCATTTGAAAGTGTTTCCTTCTTTATTCTATTAAAGATGATGATGACAAAGGAACAGTGTAGGCAAAGGACATGATATTGGATGCTTAAATGATTGTAGCCTGTAGTCACAACCTTCATATCTCAAAGCTTTCATATCACTCACTCTACAGTGCTCAAGTCTCATCCATGGACATATGAAATGTCATCTCCTTGATTTTGCCAACTGTAATAGAAAGATGTGAGATGAGTGATATGGATGGAAAACTGGTTTCTTCACATGTACTAATTTGAATCAATTGCTAATGGTTTCATACAGTACTAAATTAAGCATGATTTAAAAGACACAGATGTGAAGACTTCCATCTCCAATTAGAGATGTCTTCCATGAGAGTGGGGTGGGGGGAGGGGAGAAGAGGTGACACTTCTGCTACAAATTTGAAAACCCTGACATAGATTATAGATGAGGTTCATTCCAGTGTTAACATTCAGTGACTGCTGCAAAACCAGAATGACATGATCTGACATTGGATCATCCATTCATGGCTAGATGAACAGCCAGTAATCCCAGAGTCTTATGTAGATGGATCCAGAGGGCAAGGGGGAATTTTCAGATGGGGAGAGGGAGCGGTCCTGGTCTGTGAACCCAGAGGCTAGCATCACAAGGCCTCTCCAAAGCCTCCTAGGGTGGAGCCAGCGCCACTCAGATTTGTCCTCCCTGCTTCCCAGCTATCCTTGTTAGGACTTCATTACTCACATGGTGACAAATTCTTTTTCAAAACAGTGGTTCTTTGTTTCTTGGATCATGAAGTATTTTGAAAATCTGAGGACAACTGCATACTTTCTCTCCTGAAAAATTTACTTACAAAAATATCCATACAATTTAGAGTATTTGTTACTTTTATAAATATTTGTCAATCACTTAATATGTGTCAGGCCCTCGGTTAAGTTGTGGGTAATTCTGGGATATGACAAAGCCTTGGAACTTCATCTAGCCAAAAATTTCTAAAGGCTCTTAGAGTTTTATTTGGAGAAAGATGCATTCATTATTATTAGTTATAATAACAACGAAATAGCTAACTTATTCGAAAACTCTTATTATTGGTCAAGCCCTCTGCTAAGAACTTTGCCTGAGTTATTTCCCTAATCCTAACAATAAACTGTATGAAGGAAGCATTTTATAAAAGGTAGCACATGCCAAATGCTTAGAATAGCAGCTGACAGAGTGAATCCTCTATAGATGTTACTCGCTATTACTGTTATTATTATTATCATTATTTTAATAACTTAGGCCCAGAAAACCTAGGTTATTTTCCCAAGGTTAAAACTGTGTCATCTTATATACTTCACTATGTTCTCACATTTAAAGTTATCATTATCTAGTGGGATATACGATCAAACAAAAGAAGAATGTGAAGGGTTGGAGTCCAGTAAAGATGACAGATATCCACCCCAAATGCTGTCTCTTGTATGCCAGTCAGCTCACCTCCTACAGCAATTTAGATGTCTGACTATGTCAGTCAGAAGCTGAGTGGCTCCTCTGTTTACAAATTCCTCATTGGTGCTTTCTCTGTATGATTCATAGTTTATTACCACTAATCCTTATGCTCCCAATCTGACCATGTAAAAACTTCCATATGTTGACTTTGAAGAATTTCTACTTTGAAGATAGATATCTGTCTGTATGCATGCCACTGATAAAAAACACCAGGCCATGTTAGCCTCCGCAGCAACCGAAGCCATGCTCATAAAAGCAGGCAGAAGCAGGTGTGTCATGGATGGTTTTACCAACGGGCTATCCTATGGTTCATGTAATTTTCATTGCCTTTTAAACTCGCATTTATAACTCTGCTAAAGAAACAGGCTCAAAACTTTCTGAGAAAAGCCTGAAACTTAGATTATAAACTATTTTAACAAGTAATAAAAATGTCCATGAAAACCTCTTAAACATATGAAATCAACCTAAAGGACAGTATAGTCAAAGTTCCTTGAGGGCATTTTACAGAGGATGATTATTAAAATCTTCTTAATAAAGAACAGTTGGGTATGAAACATAAATGTAAGTTGTGGTTTATAAATGTCTTAATGTAAAAGAAAAAAACGACATAAGCCTCAGTTAGAAATAAAATACAGAAATGCTTAAAAATAATACATTAGTATAGAGAATGAGATTCTGTGCATCATCTTAGTAATTTTGGAATTGAGGTAGTCCTTTAAAACACTATTCCCTGAGTCAGAATCCCAAGGGTTCTGTCATTCATCAAACATTTCTAAAGTGCCACCGCATGAGATGCTGGGGATAGAAATAGTTTATAAGCATGTGAGGAAAATGATGCCTGAAAACAGCTTTAGAGTGCGGCCGCGCGGGGGGCTGACACACGGGCAGGTTCTACGGGTGCTCGGCGAGAGTCTAAACCAGAACCATCTGGGAAATTGTAAATAATAAGAGGGTTTTTAAAGTCACACACTTAAGAAATATAGCAGCATCATTGGTGAAGTTGCTGTCATTTTGTTTTTTAAATGACATTTTTTTTTTCTGGTTATGTAACTCATACCTGCTGAATTCTAGTAATGTCGCAAACAGCAAAACACAAAGAAGATAAAATTGTTAATATTCTCAAACTGCCCCCTCCACACACAAACTATTTGCACTTTGGTGTATACTCTTGCAGTACTTTTCACATGTATCTTTGTACGTATTGATTTCTTTAGACAAACTATTACAATAATACATTGTTTTGGAGCCGATGTCTATTTTTGGTGTTAAATATGCTTAATCTCTTAAATCTTTTTTAAATGCTTAAATTTACCCACAGCACTTCACGAGGCAGAAGTTCTGGGTTCTAGATCTTACCCTACCATATATTCGCTGAGCAGCTTTGAAAAAGTTCCTTAAATGTTCTAAAATTCAGTCTCTTTGCTGCAAAATGAAGATAATAATAGCTAATATTTCTTGGATGGGCACTGCTCAACATGATTTTCCATGCATTATTTTCATAATCCTCCCAGGGTTATATTTCAAATAGCTGTCCTATTTTCTGAACTTTTGGGGTGAGAAAACTGAGGCGGGTTAGGGGACTCACCCAATGTCTCATAGGTGGACGGGAACGGAGTCAAAGGCAGGCAGACTGACTCCTGCACTGATGTTTTAACCATGAACAATGCTATTCCTTTCTGAAGACAGGGGACCAGACATACTTCTTAACTCTCTTCCTATTCTAGGATCTATGATAAACGACCTGTGAAATAAACATTTTCCTTATATAATTTTCTTAACTGAAAAAATTTAAACCCAATTTCTCTCAAAGAATGTTTTTTTTCTCTCCTTTATGTTATGTTAGGTGAAGCATACATTCTTTAGACCTGCGTGCTTGAGGCTGACTTTTTGCCCAGGAGCAACTGGCTTCTTGCTAAATATCATATGTTCCAAGCACTTGTGCATGTATTAGCACACATGATCACAGTACATGTTTTAGATGCTGACCTGTCAGGAAAGTCTGTGGTATTCACTACTTGGAGACAGTAGCCCAACGGTCACAGCTAGAAAATTTAGTCAGGACTGATGGAGATATAAAGACTCCTTCTCCAGACACCACTTTCCTTGCAGGTCTGCTTGTCACATGTTTATTCATTCCAAAAAAAAAAATTATTGAATGCCTACTATGTATCAGTCAGTGTTCCAGGATAGAGCAATCAAAAAAAATCCATACCCTTCTTGATCTAATGTTTGAATGTGAAATTTTAATGAATTCATTAGGACTCCTCTAGTGGAGGAAGAGATAAAAAATAAACTAAATTATATATAATAGAATGTTAGACAGTGATATGTACTATTTTAGATAAAATAGTTAAGAAAGACCTCTCTGAATAAGCAGGAGATCTTTGAAATGAGCCTTAAATCTTGAGTAGAAGGCCAGGGATCTTAAGATTAGAGGAAGAGAGTGTTCTTGGTAAAAGAACAATAAAAGGAAAAAATCCTTCTACCACAGACAGGCTTATATGCTTCTGAAGAGAACCGGGGAAAAAAGCCTGTGTGACCATAGCACAGTAAATCAGAGAAGGACTTAAAGAGCTTGAAGTCAGAGAGGACTGGAGCCAGGTAATATAGGAACTAGATG